AAAAAAAAAAAAAAAAAAAAAAAAAAAAAAAAACCACCCCTTTACCCACCCCTTTACCCCGACCCCTTCACCCATCTCCCTTCAACCTGAATGCAATCCGGCCGCAATTCCGTCCCGAAATACGTAGAAGAGTCCTAGTGTGAGTATGCCCTATAAAGTACACAGATGTGGTGGACCTTGCGCCTCTCAGAATACAACAATAAAACGGATGTTCTTTCTTCAAAACATTATGATTAAAAAAAAAACTTAAAAAAAGGGTTTTCAAAACGCGACTTGGCAGTTTTGGGATCCAGAAAATGCATCTTTGATGCCTTGGGTATTAGCTACAGCTTGTATTCATTCAGTCATTTTATTTCGGTGGAATTCTTGGACCTTCTTTCTAAACATTGTTACTTTTTTTATTTAGTCTTTTAGGTACTTTTTTGGTTCGTTCGGGATTAGTACTTGCATCTGTTCATAGCTTTGGGGCTCATTAGACACTTCTCGGGGACACAAAATCCCCCAGGAATTGTCCGTTCCACCTATCCTCGGGGATGCAATCGAAAAAAAAAAGAAGTGAAAACACTCATAAGGAAATTCCTCGGGCAATAGGACTTTCCCCAGCCATTTCTTCCTCTTGCCCAAAGAACCTCATGAGGTCCCTTGGGCACAACGAATCCGTGTTTCACGGAGAGGAGAGGGCACACGCGTAGAGAGACGTTACAGGCTTACATCCGAGAATTTGGATCGCGGCGGCATCCTATTGGCTGAAGGCCTGAAGCACAACTGTTTTTTTTTCTTTTCTTTTCTTTTTTCTTTTGTGACATTGCTCTTAAGGAATGTCCTAGGGCGACGTCCCCGAGGACAAGTGGAACGACGGACCAAATTTCCTTTTGAACCATTAGGATTTTTTCCTATTGCCCTTTGAGGATTTGGAAAGGAGTGTCTAACAACGCCCTTTGCCACAGATGCGTAAGGAGCAATCTTTTTTTAATTATTGACTTTTTTTTTATGGCAAGCCTCCCTTTGGTTCTTAAAAAAGAAGAAGAATAGAACGACTGACGCTTACGATCATATGTCTGAAATAGAACAAATTCTCAAGCTATAGCTAAGTTAAACGCTACTTTGAATAAGGGTCAGATCCCACTAGCAACGAGTATTGGAAGAAGTGTCAGAATCTGGACGTGTTCCACGCAGAGGTGCAGAAAAGTAGATCAATCACAATTTTTCGCACTTGTCCACAAACACGTCCACATTTAGACACTTACTACGATCCTCTTTGCCAGTGGGATCTCCCTCTAGTAAGCCTTTTGCTGGTTCCTACATTGCTACACTGGATTAAGGGGTAAAAATTTACAACACGATTAATAAGATTAAAGTCCAAGTAACTGCGGTAAAAACTTTATTATTAGAGAATAGTAAAATCCAAGAGATCGCGGAACAGGAAAGAGTAATTCCTCGAGTGGCATGGTTGACCCTGATCCAACCTAAGTTTAAAGGGGGGTTGGGAATTCTTGACCCAACCTTGCAATGTCAAGCGTTGTCATTGCAATGGATAATAGATCTTATTCTTTGTATTGACAAGCCTTGACAACCAATGGCACTAGAACATATAAGAAGATTGGCGCCAAAAGCTCCTTCTGAGGTACATCCTCTCACTTGGTTGGAAGATAGATTTTGGAATATTCCCCACCCGGGTGCACATTCAAAGTTAGAAGGAGAGAGAGGTGCAGCTCGAGTAGATCTTCTGCTAGATAACTTATGGGTTTACCTATTGAAAATATGGTGTAAACTACCCTTACCAAATAAACCTTTCCCTACACGTTTTGAAGAAATCTTGGGGCAACCTTTATTTGAGAATAGATGGATAACTGATGTAAATGGTTATGTTTATAATAGCTCTCGACCTCCCTGGTCTCAATGGGTGAAAAAAGAGGTAGTACGGGTCAAAGATATTTGAGACCAAGAAAAAAAAGGATGGATAACAACTGCTCAACTTAAGAAAACAATTCCATATGTCCACAAACTAGCCGGAACTTGGACCAGATCATTTCTTTCATTCCCCTGGGGTTTGATGAGGGAGTTAAAAAAAGGAGTAAGGTTTCAAGAAGAAGACTGGGTAATGGTTGTGAATGACCCAGAATGTTGGCAGGTGGGTCAAATAGTGAGTTTGCTAAAAAAAGGAGCTTTGGTCGCTCTCCGCAGAATAACTGCAAATCACTTTTTCAGCCCTTCACCGGCCAACCAATTCAAGTTTTTTTCCTCCATAGAAATCTACAGGATTAGAGTTCTTTTAATTTCTTCAAGTAAATGCTGGACAGTTTTTCATCCACAATGCCTCATTCCGAATCTTCCTTTGGACCCACCTGAATGGGTATGGCAAGTCAGGAAGAAAGGTAAGCCACGCACCTTGCAATCCCTCTAAGTTAAGACAGTGTATCGTCTATTGAGACCAAGAGTGAATGTGTCTTCCATAATAAGGGATCGCTGGGTCAAACATCTGAATATTGATGCGTAAAAAATCCGAAATTTAAAATTATTCAATAAGCTAAATCAGAGACTAGCCAAATTCTCCTCTCTGTAGTGACAATACTTCATAGATGCCTGCCCACTAACGACTAGATGATAGATCATACCGCTTTAGAACAACAAGGTCTGACACTTCCATGATGTAAATCATGTTTATCAGTCTTCCCTAACAAAAAGATTAGGGAAACAATTGAACATGTGTTCGTGCAATGTCCGGGTACGGTATTACTATGGAGAAGATG